ACCCTCCCCATTCCCATCCCCACCTCCATCCTTCTCCACCAGCACAGCCCCCTCATCAGTATCAAACGCCTTCCTCTTCCTCTTCAACTCCTTATCCGTCTCCAGCATCTCGCTCACCCTACCCAGCTTCCCCGTATCCCTTCTCAACATGAATTTAAAGTCGTCGAGCTTGATTTTGGCGCGGCGTGCGTGGTGCGCGACGGACGCGGCTTCGTGGCAGGTTTCGATGATGTAGTCGGTTATGATTTCGTCGAGGACGCGCATGGTTTCGGGGAGCGGGTAGTCGTTGTCGCCGAAGGCGAGGAGGAAGGCTTCTACTGGAGATGAGGGGAGGGCGGGTTAGTTTGGGTGGATGGTGGTGATCGGGGCTTGGGGGTTTGGGTGCGCGTTGGGGGTACTGATGGATTGGGGTATGGGGACTTACAGTCTTGCGTAGGAAACTGCTGGCCTTTTTGCCGCAGGCGCATACGTGGCTCTGTCATGGTGTTGTGTCTCTCGCGCTCTTTGTCGTTGTTCGACTGCCTCGTTCTCCTCTCTCAGCGCTCTTCTTGATCTTTGCTTCGTCGCCGCTATCCGTAACAATCGCGTGTGGTTCCTGCGCGCAACGCCCGTACAATGAGTTTCCGCGGTGCCGTAATAGTCGTTCTTCGATAGTTGAGGTGAAGTCGCGATCCTCCGTCGCGCTTGTTCCAGCAACAATAGCTAGCGCGCTGCGCGAGCTGCAATGACGATCCCACATGCGGCGGTCGGGAGTGCGCACAGACCAGCTGTCCGTGGGCGCAACCAACGTTCACCAACTACAGTAAAGCGACAATCTGGCCTAACGCGCGCGCTTTCACTAGGCAGCAACCTTTACCTACCCTCTCTCTGACTACGAGCGCATCTACTCTGGGATATACGCGAAGACACTACGAGCGACGAACGCAGACTATTCGACACCTATCCAAAACCACCACGATAAACCCTCCACCTTCGCATCTACATCCACATCCACATCCACATCCACTACTATCAAAATGGCCCGTACCCCGCTTTCCCTCTCGTCCATGTTCGCTAACAATCTCAAAGACCGCACTCTTCAACTTCCAATCCCTGCTCCTCGTAATCCTCCTCACAATCTGCACGGCCACGTACGCACACGCGACTTTCCCGGGCCCCCTCGACCGAAACAAGGAGAAGTATTGGATATCGCCTGTTTGGAAGGCTGCGCGTGTGGGGGAGAGGCTGAGCCCGTATGTTAGTTTGGCTTGTGTTGTTATGGCTGTAAGTGGGATTTTGTGATAAGAAGGGAGGGAGGAGGGAGGGATAGGGGAGGGGGGATAGGGGAGGAGGGAGGGGGATGGGATGGGGATGGAGATGGAAGCTGACGATACACAGGTACTGCAGTTTATGAGTTGAGCCGGTTGTGCTGTAGGAGGATACATCGTAGCGAAGGCGAACAGAGGGATTCGCGGAGGACACATTTACAAAGCGAGGCGTTATGGGAACAGCATCAGGAACCGGGCAATGGACATGTCGATCAAACTACCAGTCACGCATGCCGTCGAGGTCAACCTTCACATTGACCAACAAGCCACGGCAGGCAATCAGCGACAACACCAAAATCACACAAACCCATCCCACCATATATATTTAACAAGATTTTCATAAAATTAAAAAGGTTATATACATAAAGGCAGCAAACAAATCGCGCAAGCAAGCTTTCACACTCCTTGCCATCATTTTAGCCAAATGCCAGTGTACCAGCACAACCCCCAAAAGACTTTCCATCTAATACCACCCACTCCATCCCATAAAAAGATGAAACAACAACCACCGACCAGAGACACCACCCAATTTCGTACATATAGCAAAAGGTGATGATACACGACGTTTCCAGCGCCTAAACTAAAGAGCCACCTTCCTTCCTTTCTGTGATGGGAAGGGATGGGAAGGACAACGACTCGCTCGACTCGTGAGATGAGAGTTTCTGACACATTTTGAGGGCATTTCCGTAAGAACAGCAGTAGAAGTGACACGCAGGTAAGAATATAAGTAAACCAAACATCAAAAAGCAGAACATGTTGGAATGCCCTGAGCCAGCCGGACCGACTCCGTCCATTGCTGGTAACCCGTGTATAAGTGAAGAATGGAGAAAAGCCGCCGGTGTTGAGTAGAAAGAAAGAATACCATAGCTCCATGACAAGTGACATCGTTAAGGAAGAAGGGGATGAGAAACAGCAACAGCGTGAGCCGGACCTAACTCGCTCTCGCTGCTCAGTGCTTCCGGCTTCCCTCTCCCTTTTCGAAGCAGCCATGGAGGGCCGGTCGTGAACCCCTGCGTTCCTGCACACCCTCGACGTCACTCGCATCCTCGACCATGACGTCGTCGCCGCCGATGGAAAGATCAGGTTGGCTGTGTGCATCGTCAGCGTCTTCATCATCGTCGTCGTCGTGATCGCTGACAAGCCCAGGGTTGGACTCAACCGTGTGAGGGCTGAGATCTACCGGTGAGCTTGGCATGTGATGATCGCCTTCAGACTTGGTGGGAGACGGGAACGACAACGGCAGGCGCGCGTGACTGGAATTGCTGCCCTTCTTGCTGCCTGGTCGTGCTGACGGGGCTTTGCTTGCGGGTCCGCTGGCAGGGAGGCGCGCTAGATGCGGCGGCACTGCTGACACGGGGGTCGGGGCAGGGCTGTCGTCATCCGAGGCATCCATGGCGTCCAGGTCGACCTTTGCGCGGGCAGTCTCGACAAGCTCCTTGAAGTCGCCTTGGGCGCCGCTGTTGGCGAATCGGGCAGCAAGGTAGGGCGTCGATGATGACTTGGCAAAGTTAGCCGGGGTGGTAACCTTGGAATCGTCACGTGGTGAGGCGTTCTGATCACGGTGTACCTCCCGGGCTTGTGGGACGGGTGCGGATTGTGATGCTAGTGGGTGGACGATGCCGGGAGTGGCAACAACAGGGAATGACACAGCTGGAGGCGCAACTGGAGCGCTCGCAGGTTCGGCAGCGGCAGCGGCAACAGGAGTACCAACATTGTCAACATCCACAGGAACACCACATGCGATGGCTGCAGCGTCGTGGCTCTTGAAGACCTGCGTGTGCTTGATCCGGCAGTGATTGAGGAAACCCTGGGTGTTGGAGAAGTTGCTGTGGCCACACGGGGCGCAGTACAGGCGCACCCACTGACCGTCCGTCGATCGCTTGTGCAACAACGGGTCGACCTTGGGCGCTGGTGCTGGAGTTTCACCAAGGGGCGTGAGCTTCAACATTCCAGTTGAAGTTCGCGACGTGCGGCCTCTGTGAGACCCATAGTCAGCAAAGCTGCCGCGCGTCGTCCTGCCTTCACCAGTGCCAAAGTACCCTTGAGCTTGCTGAGCGAATGCGCGTTCAGATACAGGGTCGAACTTGGCGTCTGAGATCAACCATTTTGCGTAGTGGCGAGTGTACGGGCCGTCGGTGACTCCCCAAGGAGCAGCATACTGAGGTTCTGTCATGCCAGAGCTGGGTTGCAATGAAGCACCAACCCCGAGACTGACATCCTCACTAAGGCCTTCGGTACCGGGGAATGGGATGAGCGAACAACGCCTCAGCTGCTCGAGAGAAACCTGGCACTTGGCGAGCTCCTGTTCAATCAAACGAAGTTCGTTGTGCTTGAGCAGAATTTCGTAGTTGATTTGCGCTTCGATGGCTTGTTGCACAGGGGTCAGTCCAGAGTCCATGGTGGTCGATGGCGTGTTGATGGAGTCAGGTTTGGCAGTCGTTTGTTGAGGTTTCGCGGCCTTGCTCTTGCTTGCGCCCTCTTTCCTCGGCTGTGCCTTGGGTCGCGCATCCACTTCAGTAGAAGTAGGAAGACGTCCATTGTCGGTCGCAGCTTTCGCGTTTGCATTCGCATTTGCGTTGACCGTCGACGGTCTCACCTCACCATGCGCGCCCTTCCACTTCTTGGCTACTGGCTCAGGGCTGTCAGTCCGTTTCCGCTTGATCTTATTCATGTTGTTCATGAAGTGTGGCATGTCGACCGGCAGCGGTCTTGACTTGTGGAGCGTCGACTTCTCCATGATCTTGTCGCCAGGCGACTCGTTACACCATGGGAGGCGGAACATGGACTGCATTGTGAAAGAAGTGGAAGCCTAAAACCAACAGAGCTCATCTGTAGTTGTGAGGGTCGTGCGCATCGAAGTCGAGTGCTAGTGAGGCTGCAGGATGACGTTGCAGCAGGCGCAACAACAGTAATGCGCGACTTATATCTTCGGGAAAATCGAAGGGCAAGTCGTGCAGGAGAGAATATTAAAACGGGTAGGGGGTATCAAGTGCGGGCGAAGGAGTGCAGGAAGAGAAGCAACAAGCAGTTAAGCCGTTGAGGTGGTGACGTGGAGGGCAAGAGGCGCGATGATCGGCCACTCAAGGTTGATAAGGAAGAGACAGCCGCACCAGCACGAAATTCCGGGCAAGAATTCGTGAATACAGGAGAGAGGGGCGTATTACAGGCGTGCAGGGCTACAAAAGGCCGTGGAGAGGCGGTGGTGGGGGGGAAGGTGAGGGGATGGTGTGCCAGACGGCGATGATGTTGTGATGAAGGGCAGCGACGACGAAGTTCGGGGGGAGCAGTCATTCAGCGCATTTCCACACGTACGGGCTGGCCTAAGCCGCGCTAGCCGGGGGGCCCCGGTCAGCCCACCTCCTTGCCGGAATTGGCGATGTTGCCCTTGCGTCTCAGACAAAAGTCTCGACAAAGCAATTCACATGAAAATAGCAGACACCTCTGGTAGTCACCTTCATACTGTATCGCAACTCCACCGCTCACTGGACGACGTCGCTGCCAGCTGCGCGCCCAAGGTTTGCTTTTCGCGCAATTTACATCATTATGGGGCCTTTCGCTAAGTGTTAGCCAAGGGGCGCATCCGCTAAGTCGCTGCCAGCAAACGTTTAACGACTCAAGTCGTCTCAGTGTCGTTATGTCATCCGCTGCCGGCTGTCCGCGGGGAGTCAACGTGGTGGGAGTAGGTGGCACCACGCGAGACAGCAGCAGCAACAACAGTTGCTGTCGCACTGCACTGCACTGCGCATACGCCAGGCAACAGCATCACTACCATCGGAAGCCTCGGATCAAAATACGATCCTGGATACACTACCTAGGTCCCTGGGTATCGCACTCAATAGTCTACATCCAACACCCACAACCCACCAGGCCTCGATCACCATCCGGTGAAGTTTACACCTCACCCTCGCCGTGTGGAACAAGGTACTCTTCTTAGCCCAAGTCAATTATGCGTCCAAGCCTGGACGCTCCGGCGCCATTTTGTGGCGTTGGGCTTGGCCTGCATGCGCGGCCTCCCTTAGTGCCGCCCTCCACACTGGCGACCACCAACCGGCCCACTCAGACGCCGCGAGCCTGCACCCCCCAGCTGAAACATTCTCAACACCACGATGGCGATCGGCTGGTCGTGATCGTACGCTCACGATTGAAGACGTCATGTGATGTGTTGGAGATATATA